CGCCAAATGTCGTCGCGTGCATGGTGGTGGGGCACAGCGACACCGGCGACAGCAAGGGGAAGGGGCCGGTGAGCCCGTTTTAGCTATGTTTTGTAGTATGAATTTGCACTGTCCGCCGATGAACTAGGATCATTTTGTCCGGCGATGAGCTAAGCTATGATCCGGTTTACTTTATGTAGTGTTGCATGGGTTGCATGGATTTAAAACTTCAGATACGAGGGACACGAGTGTGGGAACAAAAATATGAGACGTGTCCGGTCAATGCTTGCAGATGCGCTCGGACATGTCCGCGAGCTCGTCCTCCCCCTAGGGAGACTCGGGCGGCCAGAAACCTAGCCGCCGCCGCAAACTCCCTCCTACTCTCCCTCCGCCGCCGCCGAAAGACGCTGTCGGGCTAAGCCCGGGGCCGACGGCAGTGGTGGGGGATCTCCTCTCTCGCACGTCTCCGGGGTGGGGCGGACCCCAAGGCGTGTGGTGGCGCGACCGATCTGGGATCTGCGGCGCGGCGGTTGGCGGCAGGCGGCGGGAGGCCGGCCCGTCCTTGGACGTCGACGACTTGGCACGGCGGAGGCCAGGGCTGCGGGCGCGGCGGATGGCCCTTCGGGCGGTGGCGGCGGCTGCGATCGGTGGCGGCCGGCTTGGCTGCGGTGGCGTGCATGCTGCCTTCAGATCGGCGACGGCGGCGTGGAGGGCCTGGTGGTCTCGTTGGCGGCACTTCCGGTCAGATCTGTTCTGACCGGTGCAGCCGGCGGCGGTGGTCATCTCTTCCGTCAGAGGTGGTTGGCCTGAGGCTGGGTGTTCGGATCTCGGGATCCGTCATCTGGCACCAGCTACGAGTCGGGGAGACGTAGTTGCCGGTGAAAACCGAGTCGACGGCGGGTGATGGCGGCGTTCCACGTCATTACCTTGATGAAGGCATCGTCATGTGACTACCGTTGACCCACTCGTATTGCTCCAGGGGCAACCCTAGAATCTGGTGTTCCAGACTAGACGATGGCGGCACTGCGGTGTCGTTTCTCTCTTGGGAGCGTTGTTTTGTGGAGCAGCACTGGAAGTCAGAGGCAGGAGGTGGAGCGGCTTCGTCTTGCACTGAGCTTCGGTGGAGATGTCAAGTCATGTCTGACCGACAGGTGCTACGCTTGGTCATGCCTGGTTGGCAGGTGCTACGCACGACAGATCCTCCAACGGCTTCAAGCTGTGTCGGCTGGTGGTACTTGGCAGCATGGCGCTGGGGTGTATCACTGGCGACCGCGACGTGTACAGCTGTTTGCGCACAGAGAGGAGGTGCCGTTGGGCGCCATGGTGACATCGACGATAGCTGGACCGAGCAAGGTTGATGCATCAGTACAGTTCTGAAGATGGAGCGGTGGTAGTTGGCAGCGGCGGCCTCTGAGAGCACGTCAGACCAGTGTGTGCCCCAGACCCGACAAGTGGTTAGGTTGGGGACTCAGGTCTTAGATGTTAGGCTTGGCTGCGATGTCTGTTTGGTATTAGGCTCAGGCTATCTACGCCCCTTCATCAACTGGACAGGTGTAGCGACAATTTGTTGCTTAGACGACGGCTTTAATTTTACTGTTGTAAGGTCTCGTGAGAATAATTAATATAGTGGCCGTATGCATCGCCCAGATACAGAAGCCGGGGGTCATCGTCCTTTTCTAAAAAAAATAAAAAATGTCCGCGAGCTTTTTTTAGAACGAAGACGCCGGAGGCGTCCGGCTTTAAATTAATAAAGCCCACATAAGGCAGGATCCAACAAGGTTCAACACATAACAACAAAGATAAAACGGCCGCAGCCAAGGTACGAAACATGCTACCGGCCGAAGCCTGCAAATGGTAGAGAAGCAACATAAAGCACTAGGCCGGTCCAAAAGGTCAAAACCTACAGCAGGCTAGTGACGGGTATCAATCTGGATAAACCGAATCCGCTCCATAGCCTCCGTCATCCGATCCGCATCACGCCGTTTCCCCAACGGCGTCCATGTCTGAAGAAATAAGTGGCATTTGAAAATAATGTCAGCCAGGTGAGAAGGAAATTTGTGCTCGATAGTCATCTTATTGCGAGTGGTCCAAATGGACCACAGCAAAGCTCCCACGCAACTCCATAAGACACGGCCGAAGCCACCCCTATGAGCGACTAGCAAAGCGCGCAGGTCCAAGGCTGAGCGGGGATTCCAGTTCTGACCGAAAGCCTCCCTAACCGCACTCCAAGCAAAGCGAGCGAGGTGACAGTTGAAAAATATGTGGTTGGCATCTTCATGTTGACCACATAACACGCAAGAGCCGTCGGAGGGCCCATTCCTACGAGCGATATTATTGGAGGAGGGAAGGCGATCGCGAAACATCTGCCACAGGAAAATTTTGATCTTTAAGGGAATGGAAGCTTTCCATAGCCCCCTAGCTATGTCCAGGATCGGCCCCTCGGTCAGTTTGTTGTACAAGGATTGGACGGAAAACTTCCCCGAGCGCAAGAGAGCCCAGGAAACCGAGTCGGCCTCAGGACGAAGGTTCACTCCCGCCAGATCAACTATGAGCCCGTCCCAACAGGCTCATTTGTTATCGAGAAGGGGTCTTTTGAAGGAGACCGCAGGCGGGCTGGTGCGCAGCGCATCTGCCACTAGGATATCAACGTTAGTAACCAGCCGATAGGCTAAGGAATGACTTCTCCACAAGGGTTCCGAGCCAAACTAGTGGTCCAACCAAAACCATGTTGAGGACCCATTGTTGACACAAAACTTGGCTCCTAAGGTGAATGCCGGCATAACTTTCTGGATCCCATTCCAAAAAGTTGATCCCTTAGCTTTGGAAGTTAGGAAAATCCCATCTGGGAAGTATTTGGCGCGGAGAATATCCGCCCAGAGCCCTTGCTCGTTATGGGAGAGTTTCCAAATCCACTTGGTTAAGAGAGCGACGTTCATTAGCTTCGAATTAAGAATCCCAAGTCCTCCAAATTTCTTAGGGCGACAGAGCGCGGCCCATTTGATGAGGTGGTACTTCTTTTTGATCCCCATTCCTTCCCAAAAGAACTTGGATCGGGGCGTATCAAGCCTGGCATGAACCCCATCAGCCAGCAAGAACATGCCCATCGTGAACAGAGGAAGGGAAGACAGGCTGGAGTTAGTTAGGATTAGTCTGGCCGCCGAAGAGAGGAAACGACCGCGCCAGGGGCTAACCCTATTTGCCACCTTGCCATACAAGGGCTCCCATTCCAGAATGGAGATGTGCTTATCCGAGATAGGCAGGCCCAAATACTTAATTGGAAAGCTCCCTAGCTTACAATTAAGTAGATTGGCTACTCGAGAAGCGAGCAGAGGATCCATCCCAATGGCTATTACCTCACTCTTAAGGAAATTGATCTTAAGACCAGAGATGGTTTCGAAAGCAAGGAGGATAAGTTTGACCGAGGCTACGCTATGATTGTTAGGCTCAAAGAGCAGCAAGGTGTCGTCCGCATATTGGAGGTGGGTGAGTCCACCCGGGATAAGGTGAGGGACCACCCCGCGGATGTGTCCGGCGTCCTTAGCCTTATGGATCATGGCTGATAAGGCGTCCGCAACAAAGTTAAAGATCAGGGGCGAGGAGGGGTCCCCTTGCCTGAGACCTCGTTTGTTGCGGAAGAAGTTCCCAACCTCTCCGTTGATCGACACCGCGGTCTGACCACCCGAGACCAGATGCATGATGCGGTGAACAAAGCCTGACTCGAATCCCTTCCGAGTCAGCACCTCGCGGATGAACTCCCAGTTCACGCGATCATATGCTTTCTCAAAGTCGAGCTTTAGGAGCACGGCCTGTTGCCCGGTGCGTTTAAGCTCGTGGATAGTCTCCTGCAACACTATCGGCCTTCGAGAATGTTGCGACCTTTGAGAAAACCTGACTGACTACGGTTGATAACGCGATGCGCGACCGGTGCAAGTCTGGTCGCATACGCCTTTGAGCATATCTTGAAAGGAACGTTAATGAGAGTGATAGGACGGTACAACTTGATAGTGTCGGCCCCTTTGACTTTGGGAATAAGGCTAATCACGCCATAGTTAAGGCACGAAACATCTACCGTACCTAGCGCAAAACCATTGATAATCCAGTAGAAAAGGTCTTTGAACATCGGCCAGAAGCGTCGAAAAAACGCGACCGGCCAACCGTCCGGGCCAGGCGCCGTGTCAATCTTCATTGCACCCACGGCTTCGTCGATCTCCTCCGTGGAGAAAGTCAAAGCCAAGAGGTCATTTTCAGCTTGAGATACGCGGTCCTCTTCCCCCAGAAGTCCGCCCGGAGCTGGAGATGCTTTTCCTCATCTGTTCCCAACAGATTGAGAAAGAAGTCATAGATATGAGCCACAATGTCAGCCTGACTAGCCAGATTGAAGTCTCAAAATCGAGCACTTCCGTTTATGGCCGTTGGCAAAGGGATGCTCCATTAGGAGGCGCGCACAAAAAGCTCAATGGTACATGGAGTCAATGACGCATGGGCATTGATTTTAGCCCCACTTGTCACGGTCGCACCGAAACCTGGCCGTTTCCGGCAGTAACCAGCGGCAAAAACAACCGCACTAGCCCGCAAAAAAAAGAAAAAGAAAGCACCATACTCGACCGAAGAGAGGCACGTACTTGTACGTAACGTTGATGCCCATGCCATGGATCTGTCTGCCTGCTGCCTCAGAATTTGAGCTTCTTCTCAGCAGCTTCGCCCTCGCTCGCGTGCATCCAGCCCACGACTTTGACCGCGCGAGCGCGACGGTTTCTATTCAACCCAGTTCGCTGCTTGCGTGCAAACCAAACGACCCACCAACTCCTTCCTTCCTTCCTTCCTCTAAAAAAACGAAAAGAAAATAAAACTCCTTCCTTCCTTCGTCCTCATGCCCCGCCCCGCGCTGCCTTGCATTTGCATATATAGCAGCTCGGCTGCCTCGCTTTGCCTCCCTGCTATACTTCTCTCTACCAGCTTACTCTTCGCTCCAGATCAATCATTGGCTGGCTCCATTAACTAGTCACACTAGTTGCTGAGGGATGGATGATGTGTGGTGCAGCCTCGACATGGCCGCCGACATCGCCGGCCTCCACAGCGCCCTCGCCGACCCATTCTGGCCCGCCGACCTTGACCTCATGGTTTCGACCCACGAGGTGAGCGACCCTGCTTCCTTGCAAATCGAAGCGTCTGTAAATTAAGACTGGTGGTTTTGGTGTACGTGTAGGTGGAGGGTATGGCGGACATGGACGCGAGCGGCTTCTTCGTAGGAGGAGGGGATGACCGCTTCATGCTGCCGTCGTCGACGACGTCGTCACTCTCGTCCAAGCGATCACTCTCCCTCGACAGCGGCGGCTCCTCAGGCTCAGGCTCAGGGTCTTTCTCGCTCGACCTCGCGGACGCCTCGCGGTACCAGGCGCCGGCGCTGCCCGTGCCGCACAACCCCTTGGCGGGCGCCGTCGACCACGACGACGAGGCGATCATGCGGGCTATGATGGCGGTCATGTCTTCGTCCTCTGCCTCCCCGTCCTCCTCGGCATCCTCCCATCCGCAGCCCTTCTGCCGGGACCGGGACAGCAACATGCAACAACAGTCAGCAGCCATGGCGCCGCAGCTGCGTAGAGGACGAAGTGGCCACGTGATGGTGAAGAGCAGCCTCTCCATGTCGCCGGAGAGAAGCAGCAGCGGCGGCCGGGGACAGCAGCAGGAGGAGCCGACGAGGGCCGCGAGCGGCAACACCGGCCAGCTCTACCACATGATGTCAGAGAGGAAGCGACGGGAGAAGCTCAACGACAGCTTCCACACGCTGAGGTCGCTCCTTCCCCCCTGCTCAAAGGTATAAACATCACCATCATATAACATCCACTCATTCACAAATCTAAGCAAGGCTAGTCATAGTGGGAGTAACTTAGCTAGTAATATAACACATTTTAAAACAAATTTACTTATATGGCACCTAGTTAATGAAGAGAGAGGTGTTTGGAGTAACATATTATGTTACGATCATATAGCGTTTCCCAAAAAATGTTGAGTCTATGAGCTAATAAATGAAGCAATCTATGACACTACAAATATGTTACTTTGAGGGTGCTTGGATACAAGGGACTATTTTCAGTCTGACTAAAAATAGTCTCTTTTAGAGGCTAAAGTTCCAAGCACCCCTGACTAAAAAGAGGCTAGGACTAGTCTTGAGGCTAAAATCTTTTAGTCATGGGAAACCTACTAAAATATGTATTAGCTCTCTCTCTCCTCATTTAATTCCTCTCCTTAGTTCTGGATTGGAGGGTTTGGAGGATAATAAATGCTCAATAACTAAATTTTAGTCTCTTTAGTATTTGGATCCAAGCATGGGTGAGACTAGCAAGTTTTAGTCCCACTACTTTTAGTCATGGGACTAAAACGTATCAAGCATGCTCTTTGCATTATGAAGATAGTAATTTAGAGTAGTGTCATATGCATGACACTAGTCTAAGTTACTCCCCACTATGACCAGTCTAAGCAAGCATCCAACACCACCGGCTACAACATTAATTACTTCCTTTCGCTACTAGTACAAGTATTACGTTTGGAAATTTAAACTAAAAACGCATCAATTATTTCCAGACGGAGGGAGTACTAAAGGTATACTACTGGTTACTCCCTCCGTTCCAAATTAGATGTCTTTCATTTGTCTAGAAACGGATGTACCTAGACACTATACAAGTATAGATGCATCCCAATGTGGACAAATGCAAGTCATCTAAATTCGAACGGAGGGAGTAGTTAATAAGGTCCGGTGTACAAATATGCTCCTCTATTTTATTTTCAAGGATGATTACAGATCCTCTCTGTTTGCTGAAATTTTCAAAGAAGACTTGCTCCGGAAAGTAAGTCTCGGTACTTCCGTCCCGACCTGTCAAGATCATTGTTTGCTTCTTTTAATCACTAGACAATGACATTGACAAAGGAAGGTGATCAGAAGGACCACTAGATTATAATAAGAAAAGAAGAACCACTCATATATCTAGCTATATGCGTAGTCAAGCTGGAAAGGAACAAACATGGAAGCTTCAAAAGAAACTAGACTTTCTAAATAGATGCTACTTTAACTTCCCTCCTCATTTTTTTTCCATAGTAGAAATATGATTTGAACGCACTTGTCTGGGAACAGTAGCATGCAAAAGGCTTATTGGTCCTGTAGTATTTTGTGTCCAACTGTGACCATAAATTTAACTAATTAAATATAAGTTTTATGTATTAAAAATATTTCAAACTTTTTTGAATACGAATCCAATGATGTAAATTTTGTGGTGTACAATTTATATTTCGATAGTTAAATCTATGTATGATCAAAGTTTAACCAAAAATACACCGAGAATGAAATGGTGTAATGATAAAGATCACTAGGATACTTTAAATATAAGAGAAAGATATGTTATCCTTAACTTGTAGGACTTCAACAATGATTGTATATTTCACTACAGTGAAGCCATGCCAATCTGTCGGGTAAATCTAGCGTACTGTCGGGTAAAGAGTTCTTGTTTACTCCCTAAAAAAGAGTTATTGTTTAGAAGCTATAAGGACGTTGGCAGTTTAGAATAGGAAAGCCACCGGAAAGAGGGGCCATGCTTTTTTTGTGGCCCACAGATAGAATAATCGACAGCCGTATTAGGTGCCAAAGATGTAGCAAGAGAATAGTGGCAAAAGACAATATATACTTTCCAAACAAAAAAGCACATCATTTCACTACTTTATATGACTATAATTGGAGCGGTTGCTAGGAAAGAGCAACCTGTTGTCGCAATTAGGCAGGCAAAACCGTCCTTGTCAACCGAGTAAATTAGTATTAAGCAAAAAACCATTCTTCCAGCAAAATCATGTACATAACCTAGAGTCAGAGGCCCACTTGCCATCAAGATCTTTAATCATGAGGGAGCTTTAATTTTCGGTTTACCCCTAGTAGTATTAACTAACTGGCCAAACCCCATGCATGGTATCATGCAGAAGGACAAGACAACGGTGCTAACCAAGGCGGCAGGGTACCTAAAGACGCTGGAGGCGCAGGTCTCTGAGCTGGAGGAGAAGAACAACAAGTTGGAGAAGCACATTCCGACCTACGATTGCGAGGAGGACGTGCCGCACCAGCAGAGGCGGCAGAGGGCCAAGGTCCAAATAACCAAGGCGGCATCAGACGGGGTGGTGAACCTGACGGTGATGGTGATGGTGGAGTGTGACGTGGTGGAGCTGGTGCTCCGCATCCTGGAGTGCCTCCGGTGGATGGAGCAGGTCAACGTCATGTCCGTCGACGCCGACACCTACTCCCCGCAGGTGTTGCTCAAGGCCATAGCCAGCATCAAGCTCCGGATCGTGGTACGTTGGCGTGGATTTCATTTGTACCTTGTTTCCTCTCGTCTCGGACAAAAGCAATTTCATCTTACAGGTGGTATGTACGTATATGCAGGACGACGACTGGAACCAGGCCTTGTTCCACGAGGCCATGACCAAGGCTGTTAACGACGCGACCGCGTCTCGTCCTTCGCTCGTGCTCACCGCGTAGTATGCAGGAAGAGGAAGGATATGTGTCATGATCCCGAGGAGCAATTCGTAGCCATACGGTCATATAGCCATCCAAAGGTTAGGTTAGATGGTTGGATGTAACGTAGAAGCAGTAATTTGTTTGCAATAGTCGGATGGGCGCCCCTGATGAGTCACTCTGCACCAACAAGATCAAGACGAGAAGGAAGTCTTCCGTGGGAGCAGCTAGAAATGTTTGTATCAGATCCTTGGAAGATCGGAACCAAACTACTGTTGAGGGACTATAGCTATATAAGGGCAGTACCAACCTCCGCCAAGGGGTAGAAGATATGTCGGAGCTCATTCCCATACCTTATATTGGTAGATAGGAAAATGACATTGTAAATCTCAATGCTCATCAATAAGGATAGGTAGGCATAATGCAGACAAATTACCCGTTTGGTGGCGTGATCCTGGATAACATCATTGCATCACCTTCAGCACTGACGAAATCCATTCAGGCAGCACCCCTTTCCCCACCTTCCATGATAAACAGCAGACTGTAAGATCGATGAACCATTATTCGTCGACATTTAGCGCCCACCGTGGGGCCCGAACGGATTGCCCTCACTAATAATCATTCTTATGGAGCGCAAACTTGCCGACGAAAGGGAAATGTTGGGAGCTAACTGCCACCTTAATCCCGAGGAGGCCTTTGTCAACCTAACTCTGGGACTGAAACCATCTAGCATCGGCTTGGGTCCCCCAGACCATCTTGACGTTGCATGAAGATGACCTTAGGTGGGAATATAGGCTTGCGGTGCACCCACCTATATCAACCCGACCAATGAAGGGGGGTCTCCTGTTGTTGTGGTACACCGTTAGCTCGACCTAGGCGACTGCCGCTGGGACCGAAACCCTGACAAGGGATAAGATTACACATCAGATACCCCTCATGGAGAAAATTACTGTTGACCTTTTTGGCAACCTTGATCACAAATCGACCCTATTTTAAAAAGAATTACGTATCCGAGCTTTTTTGGTCAAGCCAACAATCTTGGCGTTTCGTTTGCGCGGGAGAGGCGTTACTTTCATAGCCCGTGCCCAACTGGCCATTTGACGTGGCAAACTCAAAAACGCCGAGGTGCGTGTATGCTTTCGGAACCCAAACGCCAGAAACCATGGCGTTTTCGTACGCGCACAAGAGCACTTGGCGTTGAAATGGATTCACTAGCACATCGTACTCAGGCATGCATGGAATGTACTATGCAACATGTACGGACATCGATAGAGTTACTAAGCTCCCAGGAATTGAAGGCCTGGGAGCGACCGGTGATTTTTCTTTTCTTGTAATGGGTCCCGCATATCAATGTAAGCCTCGGTGTGAATCCCTCCCGCCAGTGCACGCAACAGACGTTTCTCATCTGGTCAACCCTCCGTGCACGCAACCGACGTTCCCGTCTGGTCAAAATCCTCATGTCGAGTGAGAAAGGAGATGGTCAGTCCACCGGTGCTTGGCTGAGGGGAACCAGTGAGGGCTTCGGTGGTCGACGGCGGCGCCCCCGGCAGTCCTCGACGGAGTCGGCCACCTCCCTTTCCCCTGACTACCTAGGGTTAATGTTACGAGCGAGCCCGCTGCTCTGCGCGATCGAGGGCTACCGCCGGCCACCGCGCTAGAGATGGTCGCGATTGTTTGCCTCCACGCGCCACCTTGCGGCGTCACTGTTGTGTGCTGCTTGTGCGCTGCCCCAGCCGAAGTAGCCGGCCCAGGCAGCTACTACTGGCTCCTTGCCGTGCTTGCCGTTGTTGCTTTTATTATTGTTGCTTGCTGAGTGTATAGAGATGCTGATGCTTGATTGATTGTTCATGATGCAGACCACAAAATTCAGTTGAAGGTGCAGCGGTTGTGTGCGTTAGCAAGAAGCAGCAGCAGGCAGCGGCAAGTGCCTCCTGCCGGGGGGAACAGAGAGTGCCTAGCCGGCAGGGAGGAAACTAGATTCATGAGGCAACTCGGGAATTTGGAAAATCTCAGGTGATTTGCTCGTTTCTTCAGTCAAACGTGTACAAAATGGCAATTTGGTCACTGGTCAGGTGTGGCAAATTATCAAATAGAATGTAAGGAGTGGAAAGCATCCCCATTTGATTATCTTATCTTCTAAAGACTAGGTCGCCTCGGATGGTTGCTTCTCATAGCAAGCACTAGGTAAAACAAGCCCATTTGATTATCTAATTTTGTTGCATTTTTTATTTCCTTTCCTGAAGTTCTAGAGTGTTTTTCTCTGTCGTTGAATTTTTGCAGATTTTTTTAGCAAGCTCAATCTGATGCTCATGCGGAAGCTCGCTGTCAGCCTGAACAACAATTTGTCAAGAATTTTTTTCTCAACAACATGAGAAGTGGCTGGAACAGGAAGTAGGATGTTGACTAAGCTGACAGAGCTTTTAATGAGAAACGGGGAAGGAAATTGCTTCGAAGTAGAAGTTACTTAACTGTGCAAGTTGCTGTAAATTTGGATTTGGGTAGAAGATACAATACGTGTTCAAGTTGCTTTAGTTATTTGGTTGGGGAAACTTAGTTTCTTTCATGATATCATGGCGCACCCTGGCTGATCCTTCTGAATATGTGTAAACATGCCTTAACACTATAATGGCTACTTATGAAGTCATAATTATTTATTATATATTACATTGTGTATTTGCTGGTCCGTGCTTAACAGTATAGTATACATGATTTTACCGGGGGCTTTTACGTGTCTAGGTAGACTTAAGTTTCTAAACATTTTATTTTAAATTTGCTAGAGACAACACACTCTTGCCTAGCACATGAATGGCCTACTAAGTTAAATGCTCTGTCATTCGGCCAATCCCCGAGGCGGCAAAGCGCGCGTATTCATCTAGTGCATACTAAAACTTAATGTTGATTGATAATAAATGGTGTTGGTGGTCGACTAAGCAACCACATTTTTATCGAAAAGAAGGGTTATTCCGACCTCCGCATCAAAATAATGCATGTAGCCATTTTTATTAATTATCCAACGGAGTTTGATAAACTAAATATAAAGACCAACACAAAGTCACATTCTAAGCAAACAAAATCGCTACACCTAAAAGTATAAAGATTTACCCTGTACGCATCAAGAGACACCGTCTAATCCAGTGGTCTCAAGAAGCCGCCCACGTGGCAAGCTGGAGTACCAACCGGTCTAGGCGTCCCATAACGTGCACAACATGCGCACGCTTTAGGATATGCCGCCGCCATCTTTCGTCATCCCGTCTTCAAGAGGAATCATTGCATAGAACTTGTCAGTCACATCTGCCGTCGATGTCACCCCAATACCAGATAGCGCCACCAGCCTGCACACACCCATCAGATTGCATCCAACTCTGAAACTCCTGCTCCACGTTGCCGAGACCCACCGTCTCCAATGCGGCCGATGTAACACCGCTCCACCTGTTGGCCCCTCCGTCGGTGCTAAATCCGGCATATCTCAAGGTATGGGTTCTAAACTAGGCGTCTTGGAGCGATGATAACATGGACACATGATTTTACCTAGGTTCAGGCTCCCTCAGAGACATAATACTATACGTCCTGCTTTTGATTGTAATGATGTGGGGGATAGTACATAGGACATGTATCTACCATGAGATTGTATGATTCTAATGATCTCGAATATGATCTATCGACTAGCCTGTCCTCAGCTTATATAATGCAATGGAGACCTAGGATAACAGGACTCCTCGTCTTCTGCGCCAAGTTTTATGGAGTCTTCCTTGTATACGTCATGGGCTGTCCGAAGAAGCCCATTAGTGAACCACCATGGGGGTCATCGACCTGACCCACCTGATCGGGAGGCGACATGGTGAGTACCCCCTAGTCCAGGACACTGTCGGTAGCCCCCTAAACTGGTCTTCAAGTTGGGGACACTCCTCGGTTCTTCCAAATTGTTCTTCGTCTTCGGTCGTTGGTTTTGAAAGTTAGTCCAGCAAATATTCTCATCTCCGATCTCAAGAATCATTGAGGTGTATCCAAAGAGTTCACACGTCGGGTATGCGACGAGTTCACGCGTCGGGCATCCTAGGAGGCCCCTTAAGTTCTCGGCCTTTATCAATGCCTTATTATTTTTACATCACACCTCGAGTTTGAAGTATTTCCCATGCGGCGTTGTGTTTTTGTAGCCAAGCTCCAATGCCGAATTACATCTGAGGAGTCGCAGACCACCTCAGCCTTGAATTTTTTTGAAGGAGGTTAGTCGAGCTTAATGCCAAAAAAGTTCTCAAAGGAGCTACTCACTTGTAGCCGAGCTTTATGCCGGACTACTTCGAGGTGGTGCACCACCTCGGTCTTGGGCCGATTTCTTGTGGAATCTATTTCCGATTGGTGTAATTTATTTACTGCCGAGATGTATAGCCAGTAGCCCTCAAGGTGTGCGCCAGCCTAAAATCCAGGATGCACCTAAAGGATAAATCAAATCTGTTGATCCCAGTAGTCCCTGAGACTCAGGTCGATTCGCAAAATTGGTCTGAGGATCAAGTCCTTACTCGATAGCATACTTAGGAACGGAAACACGGTGCAATAGCTCCCGGGAGTCGGGTTGGGTGTGACCAACCGACCCGAGGATCATAATCTCCTCGGAAACCATATTGCACTTTTAAATTTACTGCATTGAATCGTCAATGTAGTAGCCCCCGAGACTTGGGTTGGGCAACATGGCCGGCCCTAGGATCGAATCTCCTCGGGAACTACTCCACATGCTGTGTGTTTTTCACCAATACCAAGGTGCAGGTCGGCAGGAAAGATGCCGAGCTGCAGGTCGGAAAAGATTTCCCGAACTGATTAGGCAGGGCACCTCGGTCAAGAGGATGTCCCGTCCCCTGAAAAACATAAAAAATAGTTTAAAAGTGACATAGGATCAAAAAACCAAAAAACTTATGTAAAAACTTTACGTCTGAATTAAATCATGTTTTTTGTGCCAATCCGAATTTTTTTCTTAAAACTAGTTTGTGCTTCCGTCGTGCTTTAACATGATACATCCGATCTTCAGACTT